CTTACTTTGTCAGGCAAGTGGATTCCCTAAATCGTGACTCCTTTGCCCAACTACTTGTGGGCCTTTAAGCCCTTTGCAGCCTGAAGACTACTGGATTACATGATACAGATCCCTCTGATCCCAAGCTTAAAGCCTTGTACTACGCTTCACGGTGACTTCATTTCTCCTGCATAAATGAAATAGCTCAAGGACAGAGTATTTGCCTCTCATTCATTTGAATCTCACTCTGGGTCTAATTTTATGTGAGGCCCATAGAAGATCGCTAACCTGAGCTGGTAATGTTCCGGGAATTCTGGGGTTGAAGAAGAGAGACATTTGATCTATATTGACAATATGTTGCTGCCCACCTACTCCTGTTGGTTTCTTAACTGAAGTGCTCTGGGCCTATCCTCTACTAGGCAGGAATCCAAAATAAGGAATATGGTTCAGTCTCTGCTATCAAAGAAGTTCTCAGTCTAATGAAGGAAGTCAGGGAGTTGTGTGATGTTCCAAAGTATAAGGTCTTTTCCATGATGCAGGACACATATCACATGGTAGCATGGGCATATGTTGCCCTCTTTTTTTGTTCTATGTACCACAGAGGCTGCGACAAAGTTTTCTCATGTTTCTAAATCTCTGGTGGTGTACAGCTCTAGCACCAGGTTCCTAATCAGCTGGTCACTCCTGGATTTGTGCTTATTTTTACCCTGTTAAGTCTACAGTCTGTCTGGAGAGCAAGTCACTCCCTGAGGCTTGTCTTTATGCACACCTACAGAAAAATCTCCTCTAGTAACTTGTTAGTAGCAACTGTTGGAATTTTAGTAGGGTCTGTGTGTGTGTGTGTGTGTGTGTGTGTACACTCACAGTTGACATTTATATCATCCTCTAGCTAGTTCATTAACTTTTTCCTTTCTTTCTTGAATGTAATTTCATAGGCACAGCAGTAGGCCTGCCTACATTTGAGGGGTCTAGAGGAAGCAGGCCTACCTTTTTCATGTGTGTAATCCACAGGCAATTCTAAATCATAAACATAAAACTGGAGACTAGCATTTGTGCGTAGGGAACCATTAAGAGTTCCTAAGCAAACATACATATTCTTCATTTTCCCCTCTCCCTAGGAGAGAAATGAGGTGGCAAATTAAGCCCCAAAATTCCAGAAAATAAAACACATTCTTTAAAACCCATTTTTGTTGGATAGGTTTGGTTAAGGCTCTATTAGAGATTATCTCTGTAAAAGAAAACTATGGAGATAGAAAATTTTATCTGTGGACTTCATCTTTGTCTTTTAAATCCTAGCCATAAATTCCACTCATTTTTGCTCTGTAAGGATCTACTTCCCACTAGCTCCCTAGATGAGACAAACACTCTTCCTTTGGACACTAGTTACCAGAAAACCTTTTAAGAGGCATAAAAAGAGCATTAGTAGCAAATAGGGGGACAAAGAATATTAACCATGATTATGAACTACTACCTGCAATTGGGTACATCATCAAGAAAGCATGTAGCAATATCAGTGTGGGAGCACGTGCAACAGTTTCAGAAAGTATGCATGAGTATGTGCATGAGAGTGTGGGTCACTATCGTTATGTGGGGAGTATTCTGAGTGGATATGGATGAACGTTATTATCTTAGTAAAACAGTGTAGGTTAATGTCTTTTTTTCTTCCAGTACTGGGAATTGAACTCATGACATCACACTTGCCAGGCAGGCGCTGTGCCGCTGAGCTAAACTCCCGGCCCCTGAGGTTAATGTCAATGTAAACATGGGTCAGTGTCAAAGTGGCCATGTGAGAGTCTGAGTAAGAGTGCATGGTAGTTTGCAAGAGAGTGTGTGACTGCAAGGGCATGTAGGTCAATGTAAGTAAATGTATCAGTCAGTGTAAGTGAGAATGCGGTTGGGTGAATCCGTGAGTGTTCAGTACCAGTACTGGCCTGCTACATGTAGATCAGTAACTGCCTATGTGTGAGTAGTTGTAGGTATCTATGTCAATTGACTGTTATGATGTGAACTGTGTGTTTCAGTGTGACGTGTGACAGTGTAAGGCCAGGTCAATGACTATGCATGTCAATATACGCGCACTGGTGTGAATGAATGTACCAACGTGAGTGAAGGTATGAGAGTAAGAGAACAAGGTATAAAAATGTGGGGGGTGGTGGCACACACCCATAATCCTAGCACTTGGTAGGCTGACGCAGGAGGATTGCCGTAAGTCTCATGCCAGCGTGGGTTGCACAGCGAGTTCAAGCCCAGCCTGAATGACAGAGAGACACTATCTCAAAACACAAAACAAAACAAAAGGATGTGGGTGTGTAGAGTGACTAGGCTAGTGTAAAAATATGTGATTATGTGAGTAGCGTTGGCAGGTGAGAGGGTGCACATGTGAATGAATGTCAGTGTGAGGGAATGTGGTTTTATGTCTGCGGGAATGAGCAACAAGGTATAGTCTTGAGTTTGTGGCAGTAAATGTGAGTGTGAATATCAGAAATGTGAGAGTGCAAGTACATGGAAATAGCTGTGCAGCAAATGTGGTTTGTGCTAGTGTAATTTTGTATGAATAATTAATTTAAATCAGTACATGTATGTATTAGTGTACAAAGTAAAAACGCCAAAGTATTGTGATTGTGTATGAATGCGAGAGGGGAGAGTGACAGTTGTTGATAAAAAATGGCTTTAGTTGTGTGCGGCTGTGTTTCAGCATGTGTGCTGGAGAGTTTGACGTGGAGTACAGCTATATCTCAGTGAGAGTGTACAGAAATGTGCTTTCATGCTCAAGTGTGCTTTTGTGTGAATGTGACAAGAAAAGGGAGATGGTTTCAATGCTAGTTATATGCATGCAAGAGTATGCAAACAAGTACAAGTGAGATGGTACTCACGGTGTGGGCACAAGTAAACATGAATATGAGCAGATGCACATGTGTGTCCCTGGGATGAGCTGCATGTATGACAGTGAAAAGGAAATAGTGATAACATCAATGCAAGTATGTTTTAGTATATGAAACTGGGACTGTGTATGGTTTATGAGAAACAATTTGAAGTGTAAGCAAGGGGAAATTTGGTGTATGTCTATGTGTAGTGTGTGTGTGACTGTGTAGACATTTTAGTGGGTGAGGCTGCTTTTGTCATCTGTATGAATGTAAGTGTGAAAGAGTGTGACTATGAGTGAGAATGTAAGAAAGAATATAAAGGTAAGAGTGGATGAGAATATAAGGGTAGGGATGTATGGAAATGTGAGAGTGTGGCAGTATGAAAATACATAGTATAGTATGTTTGTAAATATGATTATATGTGAGGGTGAGTATGAGTTAAATGTGACTCTGCAAGAATCTATGAGTGTCCTGGTGAGAGTATGTTGCATGTATGTGTGTGTGTGTGTGTGTGTGTGTGTACACATGCATGTGCAAGCAATAACTGGTGCCAAAATAACTTGGGAGGCTGGGAAATCTAGGAAGTATCTTTGCTCCCAAACCTACAGTGTATCTCCGGTTAAGTGCCGGTTATTTATCCCCTCTCAATCTCCATCTCAACAATGGTAATAACAGCTAACTTGAGTTGACATCATTTGTACAATCAGTAGTAAAAACCCTATCACAGAAAATACCTACCTCGGAGGGTTACCATAGGAGCAAATAATATCATGCAACTAAAGTGTCTAGCACAGAGCTGGCAACAGTAGACACTCAGTAAATAAAAGTTATTATCACAGCTGTCACAGAACACCCAGGAGAGATCCCAAGGCTTGCTTTTTATTTTAGTCAGTTCTAGTTACCTTTTGTCAGGCAGGGTCTATGGAGGATCTCCTAGCAGAACATCTCTAGAAAGTTGAATGCATCAGTATCGGTAAGGCTGTAATTTCATACCTTCAGTTCCAAGGCTGAAACTCTGGAGCTTCCCTTTCATGAGAAGGCATCACAGAAACACCTGCTGCTGAGCTCTAGCTTTTCCTTGTGCTATAGGCCTGGGGCCAGGGTACACTGTACTTTCTGTGAAAGGGAACTGTATATTCCTTGTTTGTTTTTCTTGAGAGGTGTCTTTTGTTTTTTGTTGGTCATTTTTGACTTGGACAATAGGAGAGATGTCTAAGTAGCTGACAAAGAGACAGAGGAGCAGGCAGAGAGACGGAGGGAGAGCAGGTTACAAACAGGTAGCTGGACTGCAGGAGAGAAGCCAACACAGGAAGTTACAGGAATTGCCTGAGAGGCAGACAAAAAGCCAAGTAGAAGACCAGAGGGTCAGGTTGGAAAACCAAAAGTGCAGAGAAAGAGAGAAGCTCAATATGCAAACTGCTAGTGAACTGTAAGGCACTTGGAAGGAAGACTAGAGACCTCTAATATGTAGTCCCTGCCCTTGAAGAACTTATAGTCTACTTTACCTGCCCAGGTAAGTATTGCAGAAACCGTGCAAGCATTATCTGAAGCAGGAGAGAAGCAAGTGGCTGCACTGCATGCTACTGACTCAGACGGTAGCAGGCCGGGAGAGGAAATGCACCCATACCACCTGGCTGGGTGGGAGGGCAGAGGGAAGGTTTGGGATGGTTTAAACTAAGCCTGCCAGGCCCAAAAGCAGAGGTGGGTGGAGAGGGTGGGAGTACACTTTGAGTAAGAAGGTTAAAAATTAACATTATGGGGCAATAGAAGTCACAGGAACTGACTGGTGGATGTGTGGTATGTGGCTGAAATGTCATGTAGACATCAGGAACAAGAAAAGGAAATGACAGCTTGATGAGAAGCATTTTCTGTGCTACACCGAAGCTCTCAGATGACGCTTGACTTGGTAATGACTGCTATGTTGTTTCCCCTCTTCACCCCGAAATGTAGGTCAAGGCTGTCATTCTCATATTAAACACAGGGGAGTCAAGAGACCCAGGGCACTGTATGAGACCGACCTCCCCAGTAAGAAGTCATGCTCTGAGGCCTAGCTGATACGGCTTAGGTAGGATCGTTGATCATGGGAGCTCAGGTGGAATCCAGCATTTACCTGGATTTCAAGAACCCTAATTCCCTGCCCTAGAAGCCATTACTCACCTCACAAGGCCACCACTGCAGGACCTCAGCACAGGTGAGTACTGCCCATTGGGAAAGGGTCGAGCTGACTTCAGCCCTGATGGACTCAGTGCTGGGCAGCTGCCACAAGATGCAAGGACTCAGCTGCTTCTTCTTGGGGAAAACCTGCTGAGAGAAGCATTGTGGGGGAGAAGGAACCTCTTTCTTTATGTGCTACTAGACCCCTGTTCAATTTCCCAGACATATCACACGCACACACACAGAATAAACAAGTCTAGAAAATCAGAGGTAATAAATATAAAAACAATGTTGTCTAAGATTCCAGAAAGGACACTGAACTGGGAGTTAGGAGGTGGAAGGTACAAGTTGAGAACTGATGGTTTTCACTTCACTACTCTGGGGCTGCTTGCTGTCAAATGGGAAAAAATGTTTTGCCCTAGTTACTTGGGCATGTATTGGAAAGGCTACATCAAATAAGAGATGGGAAATATTTATATAATTTGCACAGATAACATGGATAAATTTGCATATTGCAGGAGGCAACAATAGTGTGCAGTAAGAAACGGAGGTTATGGCCACTTTTGGTTGGCTCTGAGTATATGTAAGCTTCTTGACAAACTCAAATTGATGTTCAGTTCTACTCAACTCCAGATGTCCACCTCTATTTCCATTCTCTTTCCCACCAACTTCCTTCACTTGACTGGGAGAAAGTCCGTTCTCTAGGCAATAGCCTAGAGGTCCCTGACCTTCTCACAGTTGCTTAAGGCCTCAACCTCTCATCCTATTTGAAACTTCTTTCTACTTCTCTTCTACCTCCACACTCCATCACAAGGATGCCTTCCACAGCCATCCCCAGATTTCTTAGAGTCAGTACCTACTGTTTGTTGCTGTTGTTTTGGTGATAATTTATGCTAATCACTCCAAGAATGTTTCCACATCTAACCATGCAGGAGAAAGGGTCTCTGTTTCTATCTACCTGTCTGGCTCACTCCTCCTCTGTGTGTGTGCATGTATGTGCATGTATGTGTGCTTGTGTGCTGAGGATAGATTAGAATCCTTAGCCTTGTGCATGCTCGCCAAGTGCTCTGCTACTGAGAAATATCTCCAGCTGGAAACAAGGTCTCTTTAACCCTTCCATTTTTGAGCCTCTTCCCACAATCACCTGAGCCTCTCAGGGGAGAGGATGATTTTCCTTTTATAGTACCCCACGTTCTGCAACCCCCATTCTGCTCTCCCTTCTATTCCCCTCAAGTCTATTTATCCTCAGGCAGACACTACAACTATGTGTTTATTCCCAATAGAGCATGACCTGGCGTAACACACATTTTAGTAAAAGACACCAGAATGCAAAGAGTCCTAATCCAAAAAGATGGATAGATGAATATGTCAAAATGGAAACAGTAAAAGTGAAACCACAGGAAGCCAAGACAAGCTCCATAATCTCCAATTCCCCTTCACAAATAAAAAGATCAAGCCATACCCTTGGTTTGCCTATCGCTCTGGGCAAGACTCCAGAGCACGTCTGTCCCCCAGCATCCCTGGCATTCCCTCTGCACTTCCCACATGCACTCTAAGCAGCCTTTCCAAATCCCACCCACTGCACCACCGAGTGGTGGACCAAACCCTCCCGTGCTGCATGAGCTCATCCTGCAGGAGGGCGAGGTGGAGAGTAGTACGGGCTGCAAAGCTCCAAAGAGGGGCAGGACTCAAGGAGGGCACAGGAATGATCTCAAGAAAGCCAAGCCCATTCTTGGGCCTGCGTGTTGGCTGGGAAGGCAACATCCACTCACAGTGGGGAGAAGTACTAGAGGAGGTGGGGGGCGGTCCCACCCACCAGCCCGCACTAACCAAAAACCTCCATGTTTTAGAGCAAGACCAAAAGTTTTCCTTGAGCCTACCTCCACTTCATCTTAGTTGCCCTATCTAGAACACCACTTAGTAGTAAACGCTACAAAGCTGGCCAAGGATCCACCAGTTGTACAGCCTGAGCCAGTGCAGAACCAACTGGCAAGACACAGCTCTTCACCAGGCAGTCATACTCCTCTTGCCTGCTTAGAAAAGTATTTTTTTGTGCATGTGTGTGGCTTGGTGTCCTGTGTGTGAGCACATGTGTATCTGTTCTGTTCCCTGTATCATACTGTATGTGTCCGTGTATGAGCTGTGTTATAGCTATACCATGTTCTATTTTGAGTCTGCATCACGTTGGATATGTGCAGTGTTGTATTTATATTATGTTGTGCATATGTAGCAAGTCAGTATGCTCTTGTATATGTGCTATGTGTCTGTATTGTGTTGTACGCGTATTGCACCTCTACTGTGCTTTGTGTACACATCTAGCCTCTAGTTCATATTATGTCATACATCTATGCCATGCTGTGTATCTGTACTGTTTTGTGAGTATTGTGTGCCTCTATCATGTATGGGGTCTATAGTGCTTTATGGCGTACTTCTAGATCAGCCTCTTATTGGAGATCCGGGTTACAGATCAGTGCATTCATCTTGTACATGCCTCCCCACCCCCTCCCAGGCTCTCACATTACAGTTAACTACATTTGGCTTCTTGCCAGAATCCCTGTCTGGGGACTAGAGTTGCCACCATGAAGGTGTGTGTCTGGGCTGGGGGACCTGTGGAGAACTACTGTATCCCACACCCTTCTCATGACAAATGCCTTGCCAAGCGCTAAGATTTCTGGGAAAGGCATTTTGGATCTTTTTGAGATCTAAAGAAGGAAAGGGCACTGGGGTGGAACAGGGGAAGGATGGCTCCCTCTCTAAACCTATCTATGTACAAACAGAAAGACTTACCAGAAGTGGCAGCTGCTTGAGTTTCTCCTCTAGACTGGATAGAAGCACTGGAGCCCTTCTCTGCAGGGAGTAACAGCTGCAAAAGTGTAGTGGCTGGGTTCTGGGACAGCAAAGGGGAACTCTACCAAGGTGTCCCTATTAAAGTCACTAGAGGGCGCTATTATGTTGTCAGGCTGTGTTTAGGTCGCCAAATCACAAAAACTCCACGGGGCATGGAAACTGAGGGCGAAAAACACCAAGAAAAAGAATATAATCCTTCATTCCAAACCCTTCCTGTTTTGAGACTGAGTTAGGGAGTAAGGACCACTTGTGAATATCTGCTATTAGCCTCTCAGGGTCAGTCTGTAAGGCAACCACGTCAAATCTTTTCAGAGTCTTGGTTATAGAGCCCCTAGCAGATTCTCAATTTAGAATTCCTTTTTCCATTCACATGAAATAAAAGTAAAGCCACACTGCTGAAAGAGATAAAATATGTGTAGAGATTGTGTGGTTATTTTGTATGTTGTTTTCCCCAAACTGGAGGACATACAGAAGGGAGTGTGGCATCACAGGGGTACTTTTCTTCATAGAGGAGTGCTTTGGTATCTGTCCTCACTACCAAGAATAAATGAACCCATTTCTTAAATGTCACCAGCATCTTAGAGAACACCTAGTCCAACTCCATCAGTTGAAAGAGGAGAAAACTGAGGCCCAGGGAAGAGTAGACACATTCAGACCAGAACACCTGCTTTCTGAAACCCAAGGTTCACTCAATCTCAGCATCTAGTCCTTCAGCTTTAAAAACAAAAAAAAACATTCTTTCTCAAAATCCAGCCGCTTTCTGCCTCAAAGAAAAAGAAAAGCAAAAACAGAAAGAAAAGAGCAAATATTCTAGCCCAACACCCCACATGCGGGCTCTGGGACTATCCCACTCCATCTAGAGATCAGGCTTCTCTGTTTCCGCGCCTTTGGAATGATTCCCCCTCCCCACCAGCCAACTGTTAATTTCTTTTCAACTTCAAGGTGCACTTTCTCTCATTTTGCTTCTCATCCCCAGACCCAGCTGTGGCTGCAGTTTTGCCCTCTCGCTGCATCCCTTGGGTGCAGCACACATTGCTCCAACTTACAGATAAATTGCCGAATGTGCAAATCAGACACGGATGTATTGCATTGATTAACAGTTCCAATTAAACTCCCAGTTAGGCTGCGGGTATTAGTGACTTAAGTAATCACCGCCTATGTAAATGCAAATGCCTTCTTTCTCTCGAGAGCAGTAGAAAGAGATGCATTTTGGGGAGGAAATGGAAACACTCCAGACCTAGAGGCTCATTTGGTTCTCCAGTTCCCCTAAATCAGATTTTTAAACGCATGGCTGTTTGGCTGTTAATCCCAGGTTTAGGCTTCACACTTGAAATGGAGGACTTGGGTCCTGCGCCTCCTCGTGCATGCCCTTTCTCGCCCCCTGCTGGAGAAGCTCTGCAGTGCCGAGTTTGCCAGTGAGTCCACCTTGGCCCTGCAGAGGGAACCGCCTAGCTCCTGGCAGGTGTGTGTGTGTGTGTGTGTGGTGGTGGTGGTGGTGGTGGGGTTTGTGCAGCTGAAGCTTTATGTACTCCAGATACCTACACAGCTGCACTTACCTTCCAGAATAGAGGTTTTCCACAGTTCTCTGTGTACACAGTGTCCCATTGGCCCTGGGAAGATTTTTTTTTTTTTTTTTTTTTTTAAACAGGGACTTCAGATCTGGCCCTAAAGCATCCATGTAAAAACAGTCTCTTGTCTGGGCCAGATTCATACCATTCCCAATTCCCTTGAGGGCCCTGATCCCAGAGCCCACTATCTTTACCCAGCGGAAAAGAGCTGGTTTCTGAGGCTGCTGCTCATCAAGTTTCTTCTGGTTTCCTTGGCTAAAGCTACTGGCTCCTGAAGGTGGGCTATGTAGGTGGAAAAGTGAGTGAACTCCTAAATTTCCCTAATTCTTGGCTGAGCCATAGAGCCTCAACTACAAAAACTTTTCCATCTCACCAGGGAAATCAGAGCCTTTGGGTTCTGGTAAGACAATGACGTTGCTCCTATCTTCCCCATGTGATCCTGTCTTCTTCATCTGACCCTTGCCTACTCCATCTCATCTAGAGCTCAGTTTTTTTCCCCATGATCACCTCCAACCTCATGCCATAGTAGCAAAGACTCTGATGGCAGCACCTCTCCATCCCCCAGGTATTCCTCATCTCCCTCACCTGTCACATCCACTACCCATGCTCCTCCAAGACTTCAGCACACTTGCTGGTTTATACACTATTTTCACGTCTGACAGAACAGTCTGAAACCTGTGGAAAGGGTCAGCTAGTCAGGATGCCTATAGGGTACTGTGGCCCCTTGCCTGTATCCCTTGCACATTACATGGGAGCCTCCTTCTTCTGTTAGGTCTCTTCTACAAGGCCCATCTGTCTGTTTGGAGACTTGAAGGATTGACTCCTTGATGTGCCAAGGTCTTTCAGGACTCAGGGCTCTCTGCTGTCAGCTGGAACCCAGCAGACTTCCCTATATCGTCCCATTTTTATCTTACATGAGGATGGAGGGGTATCCAGAAACATCTGCATCCAGAAACACACACTTACATGGCTCCCTCTCCAAACCCAGGCCTATTAATCATCCATCACACTACTAAGTCCCTTTGCCTGAAGGTGCCCCTGATTGGGAGCCTCAAGCGCCAAATCACAGGTCCTGTTCAATTCTAATTTTGCAAATGGTCCTGTGAAACCGCACTGACCTTTATACCTTGCTCATCCCAGAACATGGCCACAGTGTTGTCTCCAACAAGAATGGACCTCCTTCTGTCCCAACACCTCAGACAGCCACACAGTTGGCCTGGATTTGAGTCTGCAAAACCACGGAGGAACCAAGGCTAACATGGCTAAAGGCTTCCCTGCTGAAAGCCATTTTTAAAAAGCAGCCCTGCAACACCCTTCTCATGCTTCCCAAAGCCAAGCCACTCACCATTCTCTCTTTTGCTTCTACAGACCACAGCCCAGAACCCTCAAGTCCAGACTATGCACCTGGATTCTGGAAAGTGGGACCAAAACAAACAAACAAAAACCAAAAAACCAAATGGGGCCTCTGGCTCCTTCCTTGCTGGAACCACTACTCCACCAGTCTTCACCCCACCCCTCAAGCACCACCTACGGAAAGAAAACCTGCAACGTCCAGGACCTAAAATGTTCAGTGAGCCCCGAAGTGCAGCAGTAATCTTGCCAGTGCCAATTGAGAAACTGAAGGCAATGCCTCCTCTGCGCGCGAGGGGCACAGGGAAGGAGGGATACAGTAGACCCAATGACCCCACTCCCCAGACAAAGGCAGGGCCAATAGAGAGACTCTGGGCTTTCTAGTGACCTTATTGCATCATTCCATTCCCCACAGGAGTAGCAAAAAGGGTCCAGCTGTGATTGCCAGCCACTACTGAAATAGGGGAGGGGGATAATGAAAAAAAATTTTAAGGGGGGGCGCTGGTTTAACAAAATCGTCACTTTTTCTGTTTGCTCCGGGGATCCTCTGCCCTGGACTTGGCCAAAATGCGGCCACACCCCCTCCCCTTTTCTGAGGGGCTACTGTCACCATTACTGTGGATGAAGGGGAGGGGGTGCAGGAAGGTAGTATAAGATTTACAGGCTGACGTAGCTTTCAGGGTGCATTTTGCCTCAAGCAGCCCAGGCCCCAGTAAGCAAGTACCGGGCCAGGCCAAGGGAAGGAGTCCAGGCCCTCTAGGGATGGCCGGGACACACCCACTTGTCCGCGTTTGTGAACAGGGATCCAGCAAACTGCGTGCTGGGTTTCAGGGGTCAGGGAGAGCCACGTAGGAGACTCGAAGCTGGGGCGCCGCAGGAATGGGAGGGGGACCCGGAAAGACAGAACATCTGCCCAGCAGCCTCAAAGCAGCGCCCAGCCGCCACCCTCTCCCCCAGCTAGCCCAGGTGCCATAAATCGCGGGATTTACCTGCCTGGGGTCCAGCCACCCCGTCAAGACCTTTCCTCTACCTCCAAGCGCTCCGGCTGGCGGGGCTGGGGAGCCGCAGCCCCGCGGCCGCAGCCGCAGCCCCGGGCCCAGCCCGCTCCCCCTGGCTTTTCTCCCGCCCCAGCGCACAGGCTCCCGGAGGGGAAAAGCTGCAGCCCCCAGTGCAAGATCCCAGCTGGTTCACCGTCACAGCTGCCGCCCGCGACAGAGCCCCTGCTCAGCAACCGCTCCCTATCCCTTCTCTGCTATGACGTCACCCGCGCTCTGCACCGTACCTAGGCCAATCAGATGGTGAGCATAAAACTAAAATCGCCCTGAGTGGGCTACTGGGGACCAATCTTTTGTTTCCAGGCAGGAAGCGCCCGGGAAAGGGAGGGGGGCTGAGGGGGAGGGAAGAGGGAGAGGGAAAGGAAAAGGAGATGGGAAACTTCTACAGTCAGGGTTATCTATATGGAGGTGGGGCCATCAAGAAAAAGACACCTGACGGGAGGGAGGGGAGGGGACATTTCGTTTATCTTCTTTACTTGGCCAAGCCAGAAGAATGGGCTTTCAGATGAATTTTCAGGAGAGGAAATCTGACCAGCTACAGGGGCACATTGCATTGGGGGAAAATGATTTGGATTTGGGACAACACCTGCCATGCAAGCAGGTTACACATCAAAACTCAGAGGCACATGTGGCAGTGGGACGCAAAGGGTTAGCAATCTAGGCAAGGACACTCCTTTTGTGCACATGAAACATACTTCAAAACACAGAATTATACATAAAAGAACAATTCTCTTACTTTAAATTGAGGGTATATGTGCGTATATAATTTCATTAAGATGCCCATCCTTCCCTGAAATAGTCAATGGCTTCTCTTTTCTTTAAGGTAAGTATCAAATTTTGTAGGTATCCACAGCATTCTCAAATCTAACTCCTAAAATCATCTCTTCCTACTACAAAATCCATACTCCCCAGAATGTGGCTAGATTATGTAAATTATGATAAATTCCACCAAGGAGACAGTAAGCTAGCATCCAAAGTAATAAGTACACTCAAATTTGTGGTGTAAAATACGCTCAGATAAAACAATCAGAAGAGACCTTAAAATTATGGTTAGGTCAAAATGGTAGAATTACGGGTGATTTTTCTTGTCTACTTTCAAACTTGTTTTTATAAAGATAAATACATCCTCCAATACTTGAGTGGTCCTAATGGGTCATGACCCTTTCTAGTGCCGGTTCATTCAAATTTTTTCAATACTCCACAATACCCAGCAATCATTTGTCCATAATACCAACAAAAATAAGTTTCAACTCCAAGAGTAAACTTAAAACATCTCACCAGGTCCTTTTAGGAAAAATCACACTACAGATCTCCAAATTCCAAAAGTGATAACTTTTCAGGTAGTTGAAGAATGGGATATCTCTTTTGGAGTAATTCGTTTTGAATTGTGATAATACAGGGAACTGAGAAAGAACAATGACCAAAACTATGAAAAAAAAAAAAAAAAACAGGAAAGCGGGAGATGAGCACATAATAAAGACAAGTTTTAATGACCACTGTGCATTTTGTTTTCCTTAATTAAAAGTCTATATTTATGCATACATAAGTATTACATGAACATTGTGGAAAGTGTTTAGAGCTGGGATTTTTATCTAAATCTGAGCCCAATGTCCATGCTTTTTCCAATAGATACATTGTATGCCTACTAAAAATTAAACATGGTATTATGGACTTCATTAAATACATACATAATTTAGAAAAAGATTATACAAAATTGAGGTTTTTAAAATTCAGGTATTTAAAAATGCCCATATGGTTGCGGTAGTTGTCTTCTCATGCAAAAATTCTCAGTATTTTCCCTCTCATATCCTTGATTAATAGGTTGAAATCACAACTGTTATACTTCAAATAATTTTACAGATATCCTTTTAATTAATTATGGGTAAAAATGTAACCACATCATATTGATTTTTTTTTTACACTGTAAAAGTGACCTAAGGAATATTACTCATTTAAATGGATGTTAATCACTTAATGTTAATATTTCTGATTTGTAAAATGAATTTGAGTTATTGTAAATGAGAACTTTTTTAAGAAAGAGGAAGATATAACTGGATTTTCCTGGCTAATGATGTAGCTTTGGTCTTCCAGACTATTGATTTAAATTGTAATTAAAAGGTATTTGATTTTACTCTAATCCTCCTATATACCTCAGGTATAACGCAGAGTCACTGCACATGGTTATTTAAATTTTTCATGAGCACATTTCTTCTCTCCCTGGTGATTACAGAAATTAGCATGGGACCAAAATCCTATAAAGTGCTTCACAAATTGAAGTATAGGGATGTCATCCAAAGAGGACTGGACTTAGGACTCAAACACAACACAAAGGACTTGGGTCTTCCTATAAAAAGGTGACAATCTACGCTATCATTAATATCAGAAAGTGGTCTTTATTGCAAATGAGATTTGGCTTCCAAGAATATAGGACAATTGGGATCTTTCAAGGAATGGATTTAGCTTAAATAGCTTAAAGATTTCATCTGTGTATTTTCCAACTCAATTGCCACCAGTTCCTGCTCCCTTGCTTGGGAGCGTCTTGATTTAAGGATACAACAGCACTATCTTAAAAACCAGTACGCATGTGCACCTTATTTCTCAAATTACAAACCCCTTTTGTGTCTCCTCATTTAATCCACACAACAACCACACCTTAGCAATCATTTTGATCTACATTTCATAGATGAGCTAATAGACACCCAGGGATTTGGAGTCACTTGTGCAATAACTCACAGACAAAGTCCTGAATACCAGGTTTCATAATCTCATTCCTGTGTTCATTCTACCATTACACAACATCTTGAGGGTATGTATGTGGCATCAGAGGCATTAAGTATTTTCTTTATATACAGATGGCTTCTCATTTATGATAAAGCAAGTTACAATTTTTCAAATTCACAATGGTACAACGGGGATATGCATTAATAGAGACTAAACTTTAATGCTTTAATTTGTGTTTCTCCTTTGGGTCCCACCAATACAATTAGTCCCTTGAATCACAGGAGATAGGAAGGGCTGTGGCATGAGGCATGTAGCAATAGAAGTAAACTATGATGAATATCTTCCAACTGTTCTCCTAGAATCCTGGATAAAAGGAACATTGCTTACTGTCGTATGCCATAAATGGGAGTGTAAAGTGGCATGACCCTTTTGGGGGATGATAAGTAATGGTGATGAAATCTTTCTCTGTGTGTGTATGTATGTTTTTTGTTTTTGTGTTTTGTACTGGGAATCGAACTCAAGAGCTTGCCAGGCAGGTGCTGTGGCACTGAGCTGTGTCTCCAGCCCTGTGAAATCTTAAAATGCAAATAACACTTGACTTGGCAATTCAAACTCAAGGAGTTTGCCTATATATATATCCCCCTAACAACATACTGAGATATATTCACAAAAGCCCTTTGCTGAGTGGTATAGAAGTATGAAAAATCTTGCATAAAATTTAGTTAAAATGTCGCTCAATAAGAACTTGTCAAATTTTTACAACCACTTTATTGAGGTCTGACTGCTTTCTAAAAAGCTATATGTATTTAATGTATACCACTCTCTGACTTTGGGAATAACGTATGCAATACTATGAATTTAAGGACTTGTGAAACTATCAATGCCATCAAGGCCATAAATATATACATCACCTCCAAAATTTCATCCTCCCCAATAAAAGAACTGGCAAATAAATTACGGTGTATATATATTTTGAAGTATTATGTATCAGTTAAAAAGAATCAAGTCAATCCTTATATACAGAAATAGAAATGCACCATAACACATTCCTGAGTGAAAAGAAAAATTGCGGAGCTGTATGTGTATTATGATTTTATTTTGTTTTTAAAATTCTTTATGCTTATACAACACACAATTATATTGTGATATGAATTATATAGTTGGTATGAATTATATATGCCATATTGCTAATAGAGTAACTGCAGCAATAAAAGAGGGGAGGGGAGATATACAGTGTGTGGGGGGGGTAAGGATACTATTTCCTTTATATGGAGATGGTCTCCAATTTACATTGGTGCAACTTAGATTTTCCACTTAAAGATGATGCAAAAGCAGTACACATTCAGTAGAAACTGTACTTTGAATTTTGAATTTGGATCTTTTCCCAGGCTAGTGATATACAGTACAATACGCTTCTGAAATCTTGGGCAGTGGCAGCAAGCTGCAGCTCCCAGTCAGCCACTCGATCACGAGGAGAAACAATCCATATGCTACAGCCTACTGTGTTCTTAAACTAGGATAGTGAGTAGGTTCAGTGTATTCAATGCATTTGATTATCTATGTTTTTCAATGCATTTTCAACTTAGGATCTTTTTAACGTATGTTGGGTTTACTGAGGTATAACCCCATTGAAAGTGGAGGAGCACGTCTACTTTTGTTTACATTGTTTGCATGTTTTTCTCTTACCAGGAGCATGTACTATATTTTGCTCGTAAAGACAACATTGAAAAGGGAAAATATAGTTTTCTTTTGGTTGAAATAGAAACAAACAGATAAACAAAGCACTCCGGCTATCCTGAAAGAGACTTCAATTACAGGACAAAGGTTCAGATAGAGGAATAAAGGGTATAGTGTGACACACTGAGCTGAGCCAGACCTGGTTAGGCAGTGGGTGCAGAGCAGTCAACCCAATGGGCAATAACAACTAGAAATTTTTGGTCTCCTTCCTACCCCAACTTAATTCCCACAGCCAGAAATTGCTCTTAGTAGCGGACTTGTAGTCTGTGCAGCTCTCAGTCTGTATATCTTTTGCTAGCAGGTGCACTTTTTAAAAAGTATCCCCCACCCTGCTCCATTTGCTCTGAATGGAAAGGAGACTGGCTGTGCAGCCAGTGTACAGGCATTGGCTAGGAGCATAGTGCTTAGTACTCTCTCCCTTGGGGTCTGGCACTACAACCTGTTGCCATCACTGTAGCCTGGCTCTGCTGAGTTCCTTCCTTCCTGCCTCCCAATTAACATCTCATTAGGGGCTCTAGCTCTCCTGGAGAAGGTCGTGTTGGGAGCTGCCATCTGGGTAAAGAGCAAGGGCCCTCATAGATGCCAAAAGGTATGATCCCAGGTCCCTGAAAACCTGGAGAATGGGGAAAGAGGGAAGCTCATATCTAGAAGGAAATCACCATCCTGTTGGGTCCGTAGAGTTCTGGTAGGAAATGAAGAGGACCTGATTCTAGTTCACTCTGTAG